CTAGTTACTCAGAAGGCATGGAAGTGAAGAGACATCTATCCTGAGTACTAGCACAAGAGAAGAGGGAGCAGGCCTACCACAAGGCATTACTAATTGAAAGAGAAAAAACAGAAGAGCAGACCTTCATGTTTGTGCTTCTTCCATCTGTTTTCACCTTCTAACTATTTAAATCACAGTTCTGTGCACTCAGCAATTGATACATCAACATCAGGTACTTTTTTACTCATAGCAGGGATTAGTTCTTTTTTTTTGTAGACTAAAGGGCAAGAAAATAAACCATTGTGGATGAGGACTGTATTTATAATCTTCACTTACTGGAAGACTCGTATGATATAATATTCTATAAAGGTCCTCTTGGGTTTGTGTTTGACCTGCCACATTTCACACTGAGCAGTTTTCCCTCTACTGCAACTCTGACTGTGTACTTACTACAGTTAGGTTTTTAGGAATGTATATTAACCATTGCACCTATAAAAACACTCATGTAGGCACATGGCTCTTTCTTCCATGGTTTAAGAGAAAACATGGACAAAACCAAGGAAAAAGCAAACTCCATCACTGAAAAAATAACATCCATGAGGACTGCAACCACCCAACAAGCTTTCAGCCACAGGTGTTACTACTTATAATTAAACAAGCACTGCGTATGGAAGTAGTTCTCTCTTAACACATCTTTAGCAGTGGTTTCCAGGAGCTGCTTGTTTTCCCTATTCTGTAGCTTTCTTCTGAATGGTAATGTATTATTTTGTTGCTAAATGTAAGTATCTTGGTGTTGTTCTTTGTAATGTGCTGGTTTTGCTTTTTATTTGAGATTAGTTAACAGAAAGTGTTAAAGATCTACTGAAAATGTGGTTTTAGTAATAGAGCAGTTTATTGAGGAATCTTTAATCGAAGTGTGTTCATAAAGAGGAGGAAAAACTGTCAAGGCCTCTGAGGTATGATCTAGTGTGTATTGTCAAGCCTCTCTTTTAGCCAAAGTTTTCATTTGTATTTGTTCTTGTAGTGTTGCAGATCATTCTTCAGTGCAGCAATACTGCTTCTGTCTTTGAGTTCACCTTACTACAAATGTTAAACACCAGTAATTTCCTTGTTTGTGTGTTTGTTTCTAATTTGCTCTTAAATACTTAAGAAGTTATTTCAAGTTTAAACAACTTGCTCCACGGGGCTCTGGTTAGATGCTTTTTTACTGTTTGTAAAGTGCTTCTGTTTGTTCAGGCTTGGATAACACCAAAACTAAGAAGCCTGAAAGCTTCCCTTAAATAACCTTTTTGGTGAGACACAGAAACATTTTAGTAAATTGGGGGTGAGCTGTTGGTTTTTTTGTTCTGTTTTTCAGTTTGTACCTTTTAAAACTGTAGGCGACTATAGGAGGAACTTTAAAAAGCAAAATGAGTAGTTCCCAGTTCTCTGCCATTTGCTGGCAGTCAGTATTTCTGTGGGTGCCTTTAGTCTGTGATTTGAAAGTGCTTGTATATTTGCCTGTGTCCTTCTCATTGATGTATCGAGACCTTACCATGCTCAGTGTGAACTTCTGCGTGCAGTAGAAGGCAGGCTTCAAATTTCTGTCTCCTCTTTGAGTTTTCTGCCAGCTAACAGGGGAATGTGTGCTCTAGTCTTTTCATCTCTTTTCTTCTCACCAGCCACCTTTCTTGGAGGAGGTTCGGGGTTTGATAGCTTTGGCAGCCTGAGAAAACTGCATGTGCTATGCAATAAATAGTGCCAAGTTCCTCAGCCTACCTACTTGAATGTTTTTTAAGTAATGTTCAGTTTGTCCAACAATAAATAAAGTGGAATATAGGTGTTAATGATGCACCATGGTATGCCAGAGGTTCTTTTCAAAAACTAGGATAAGATAAAATGCAAGGCTGTATGCACAGCCTGTGGTTTGAATGGTTGTTTTCAGATTATACAATTAAGTAACTGCATAGTTAGATTATTTAGCCTGTAAAATGAGCAGTTTTCAGTGTACAAAGTGTCAGATGTTTGCCCTTTAACATCAGAACACAGGATGGATATCTCAGTACTGCTTCTTGTGACCAAGGTTGACAGCAAGGGGTCTTTCTACTGCTTTCTGACCCTTTCTCTGCTACCCAGGAGTGGGGCTCCTGAGTACATGTCTTGTATTTTCCGGTGTTACTTGTGCAGCACTAAGGAACTTGGAGATGACTTAAAAAGCAAATGGTTGAGGCTGGCTTAGTGTTCTGACTGGTGAAGCAATGGTGCCTTTCCAGACGACTTTACTTTGCCTGCCTACCACACATGTCTCCAGCTCCCTGAGGGAGCCTTTTTGCATTATAGAGCTTTTATAATGCTCCCACCAGGCTCCTACAGTGCTGGATTGTAGCCTGAAAAGAGGAGAGTGGAAACAGCTTCAGTAAGAGAATGAGACTTAGTCCAGGCCCATCTGAAAGATGAATGTGGCAGGGGGCTACCATGTGTGCTATGAGTTGTTTTTATTGCGTGGGATGATGATGTAACTGAAGTCTGAATCTGATGCATGAAGAATAATTTGAATGTGGTTATTTCATCACTTTTTGAAGGTATTTTAGGAACTGCTTTTCCTCTTGAGATGGTGGGGTGGAGATCTGCAAGCCAAGCAAGCAAAAAAAAACCCTTCAGAAATCTCCAACTGAAAACAAGGTTTTTCTTTTGTTGTTGCTCATGAGATTTGTTGAAACAGAGTTTCTCATTTGGCCTCAAAATAAGCTTTTCCCTCCTCCCTGGATTAGCACAAAGAACTTCCTGCTTCACATTTAAACCGAAACTGCGGCTTTCCACACTTTGTTTCTGGTTCTTGTAGATAGCTTAATTTTTTTCCTCCTTCAGTTTGGTTGAAGGGGAGAGTAAAACCGTGTGTGGAAGCTGAGGAAAATGCTGCTTTTCATACTTCATTGGACTTGCACTGTGAGTGTATTGGGGTGTAGTAAAACATTTCATCTTCCCTGCATAGGCTGCTTTTTTGTTTTCTAGATGGTAACACATTTCCCTCTTTTTCCATCCCTGAGAAAGGCCTGAGAAGGAGGGAGGAAAGGAACTGAAGGCAAATGCTCATGAAACTGGTGAATTCCTGTTCCATGCAGTTGAAAGGGAGGGGAAAATATGGTAGTAAATTTGAAAATTTGCCTTCGGTATGTCTCTCACCAACATGTGAGACCTCACCTGGAGTATTGTGTGCAGTTCTGGTGTCCTCAACATAAAAAGGACATGGATCTGTTGGAACAAGTCCAGAGGAGGCCACGAGGATGATCAGGGGACTGGAGCACCTCCTGTATGAAGACAGGCTGAGAAAGTTGGGGCTGTTCAGCCTGGAGAAGAGAAGGCTGCGTGGAGACCTCATAGGAGCCTTCCAGTATCTGAAGGGGGCCTATAGGGATGCTGGGGAAGGACTCTTCATTAGGGACTGTGGTGGTAGGGCAAGGGGTAATAGGTTAAAACTTAAACAGGGGAAGTTTAGATTGGATATAAGGAGGAAATTATTTCCTGCTAGGGTGGTGAGGCACTGGAATGGGTTGCCCAGGGAGATTGTGAATGCTCCATCCCTGGCAGTGTTCAAGGCCAGGTTGGACGAGGCTTTGGGTAATATGGTTTAGAGAAAGGTATCTCTGCCCATGGCAGGGGGGTTGGAACTTGATGATCTGAAGGTCCTTTCCAACCCTAACTATTGTATGATTCTATGTTGATTATTAATAAACCAGAATGATCAAGGGAGAGGAGGAGGGACTGGGGGTTGGCTAGTTTAATGAAAAAAAACCCTAAATTGAGAAATCTAAAACTAGATGTCCCAATTTTCCCAAATCCTCAAACCCAGAGATTAAAAGGACATTGAGAAATTTCTTAATGTATTGCCATTAGCCCCTTTCTCCTTATGAAATATACTAGAACCTATTGCAGTCTGATAAGAGTATCAGTTATAAAAATCAGTGTATAATCAGTCTCCTCATCTACCTGCTTCCACATCATAAGGAAAAGACTGAGAATCCTCTCTTGAACACTGAAGTATATTAAAAAAAAACCCAAGAAACTTCCCTTTTTATCCTTCATTGCTTCTGCTGTGTTTGTATGCAAGTGCCCTGCTTTTGAAGGCTGTGTCTCGCTCGTATGTGATGGTGAAAGTACAGTAACAGAGTCAATATGCATACATGCAATATTTGTTAATAATAGGAAGGTTTGTTTGGATCAGATTTTTTAACCCTCCTATGAAGTTTTCTGATTAATAAAAGGAACTATTTCATCATTCTAGTATAGAAGTGGTAAAATAAGGTTGGTTTCTTTTGTGGTTTGTTTTTTGTTTTTTTTTTTTTTTTCCTTTTTTAACTTAATATTTTTACTTGAAGGCTTCCACCACCCCCCATGTTATGTCTTCCTTCCACAACATCTCCTTTTTTCTTAAAGCTATTTTAACCTAAGCTTTCTAACATAAAAAGCAAGCATGTAGCTCTGCTTCTTAGGCATCATAGAGTGGAACTCGCATGCATAAACATAAATGCCTAGTGGCATTTTAGATGTGCTACGGCTTACCAAGTAGTATGTGGTCACCCCTTTAGAACAGCAAAAACTACCTCTCATCTCATACCTACGTGCTTTGTATAGATGTTTGGTTACATTATGGATATTAAGTGCTGTTATAGTCTCCTTATTTAAGTATTAGAGGAGCCCCCAGCATTATTGTCTCGAAGTACGCGTGTTGATAAAATTTGCATGTTAGAATGGCTTTAAAGAGCAGTATAATTAAGCCAAAATTGTCTAAAGACTAGTTAAAAAATAAAGGTGTCATTAGAAAAGTAGACTGGTTTGGCCAGCCACATGTGATGGAGCTTGAGGCAAGCTTCTGTTATTGGCTGTACTGTCAAATGGCTGTATATACTATATCTTGTGAAACCTAGGTGTTAGGAATGCCTAGCTAAGTTTGTACAGCACTCTTGTTCTTTAGCATTGTGACAGAAAAATGGCTATTGAAAATAGTCTCTCAGTTGAATAGATGAATAAAGTTCTCACAGCGTACTGTCATATTTCATTTATTAGCTGTAAGATACTGCTGATACAGAAAAATATTTTGCCTTTCTCAGCATATTTTTTCCCCTGTTAGGATTAAAGGCCTGAGGTGGCTGATTTGTTTGTTTGAAGTTCTTCCCCCTGTTCCCAGCTTGCTCAATCTATACCTGCAATTCAGCCTTCAAGTTGAATCCTCCAATAGGTAGCTGGTAGCATCTTGTGGTGTTTTCTGTTTGGTGTTCTGAGATCACTCAGACATTTAAAAGCAATATTTAGTGCTATGGCTAATACTTCGTATCATGGCTGATGGTGTTCTGTGGCATCTGGAGAAGTCTTTGTGTAGAGCTTCAAGTATCTGGCATCTCAGCCACAAAGCAACCTCTGCAGTCAATGCTTCCACATCAGCAAGCAATAGCTCCTTTGCCTGTTAACATTTTTAAGGGCCATGCATTAAAACCAGCACGTGCCATTCTAACAATATATTTAAATGTGGAACAAAAAAAGCTCATGTTGTACCTAACTTGTGTGCTTTAAGTAGGCTGGTTTTTATTCCAACCGCCCCTCTAGCTTTGTAAATCCAGGGTTGCTGGACATGGGTAGCAGTGTTGTACAGGACAGTTCTGAGAGGCTGCAGGTAACTGCTCCTACATAGAATTGTCCTCTAGGGTTTTATCTTGGTAGGTCTTCCAGGAGCTCTGAGTTTGCTGTCCATTACCTCTTTCCTTCTCCCCTTCTAGCCACAGCTGTAGCTTGGGTTTTTCTGGTTTACCATAATAGCTGCAATGGGTCTAGCCCTTAGCAGAGGCCCCCCCAAAAAAAAACAAAACCCAAACCGAAACCCCACTAACCCTCAGTTTTTAGCATTGCTGTGCTGATCAGAAGCAGCTGCTGATGTGGTGTTGAATGCAGCAGGTGATTCCTTCCAGGGTTTTAGGGACAGACATTTCCAAACAAGTAATATGCTGAAAATCAACCATGAAGTTGCTTCAGCAACTCCTGCGAATCTGATAGGCCTCTACCCAAGTTCATTTGGAGAGAAAATAATAACACCACGACTACCAAAATCCTCCCATCTGTATGCTTTTATGACCCTTCTGTCAGCTTTGGTGGGCTGAAGGAGCCAATCCTGGTTCTGAGACCAACTATTCTGTTTTCAGTTGGGATAACTCTGCCACTTGGTACCTTTTAGAGATGACAAAGATAAAGACCAGGGACATATGTGCCAGCCTATCAGCAGAAACACTTCTTTTGACAAGATTAGCTTGAGATTTGAGTGGTCTAATGAAGAAAAGTCTATGGTGATTAATCTCGTGCTTTCTTTTTCGTTTTGTGTGACTGTTAATGGCAATGGCCCAAAGCCACATCCTGCACTATGGAGCAATAAAGCCACACTGTCAGCTCCTCCCTTCAGAAATGGAGCCCTGCAAAATGGAGTAGTCGCAAGGAAGGTTCCAACACCACATTCGGTTTTGGAAATACAGAAATAACATACTCGGGTTGAGCTTCAAGGCTGGGCATTTTGATGTCCAGCTCTGTGCAGCAGCTTGGGACTTTTTATACAGCAGGGGAGCTTTTTTTCATACCAGAAGCCTGGCTGTTTTAAGCTCATGTTTAAGCCATGTGCGGTGTGTGAGTTGTGAGTGGAGGACATCCTAATTGCTCCGCACCACATAAGCTTCATGTGCTCTCTCAAAATGCCTCTCTGTCTTTGGAAAGCTGGGTGGCAGAATGAATGGCAGGAAGGCTGTGTGACTAATGGGATGCCTTAGGCACCTTTCTGCAGCTGACTCCTTCTGAGTAGGAGGGTGGAAGTGGTGTGTGAGTGCAGTGGGAAGGTCAGTGGGGTTTGCTAAAGTAGAACTTGCCACTTCCTCAAAAACTTGTGGGTAAGAGCTGGGCACTGAAGCACAAAAAGGGTTTCACCAGCCACCTAGGTGTGAGGATAGCTGGAGTAGCAGGTGAGCTTTGAGGGTTTGTGTGGCCTTGGCTGCTCTCTGGGGAAGGATACCTATGCATCAGTGCTAATCTAGGGCCAATACAATCTTCCCGTTGCTGCAATTTCTGCGGTTTTGATTCCGAGGTAGGAGAGGAAAAAGATGAACCTAAACTACGTGGTGTAGGAAGTGCCATTGTTTGGAGTGATGAATGCTGTTGGGGTGTCTTTAAGGGGAAGGGAGCACATCCAGCCTGCAGCAGAGCTGAGAGGCTGAGTAGGTGGTGCAGGGGCAGAGAGGGCTAGAACAGAAGACCAGAACTGAGGTAATGAAATTTCCAGGGGGAATGAAATCCCTTAAAGGAGGGGCTCAGCATGGGGAGAGGGGAAACAATCTTTGTTTTAATGACTACTTGTCCTTAAATACTTGGGTCTTTTTCTTTCAGGAATAGATTTTTCATGAGAAACTTACACCACTGCTACTCCATGTTTAAAGATCCAGGCCTTGGCTGATTGCATAGCTGAGTGTTTAATTCCTTGTGTGTTTAAAGAGGTACAGCCACCTGATCTGGACAGAGGTAGAGGGCATGACAGATACTGGTGATTCCTATGCTCATATGAGAAGGGGGAAAAGCTACAGCGAAGTGCACAGTGAAACAATTCTGTGTTAGGATTTATACCAGAATAATTATCCTGTTTAAAAATTGTATCCTGGGACATGATACATGAGAACTGGCATATACATGATAATATACTGACATATACATGACAAATACAAGGGAACTGACATATACATGATAATATACTGACATGTACATGACAAATACATGAGAACTGACAGCTGAGGGGCAGGAAAGGAGCAGGAAGAGGGGATAGATGTCTGGAAGTTAAAGACTGGAGGTAACAGGAAGCTGGGTGAGAAGGGTGAGGAACTAGATCCATGATTGTGCACTTTTCCTGCCTTATAAATAAGAAATTGGGCACTCCTGAGGTGATGAGAATGCACTGCTTCTATTATTTTCTTCTTTATTAATTTATATGCACTGTTTTTTTCACTTCTATCTCTTAAAGTCAGGGTAAAAAGATAATGTAAGCAGGCGGTAAGGCAGCACCTTCAGTGGAAAAACTGTTGTGCTTAGGTGTGGTGTGTGTTGGGATTTTTATTTGAGCTAACTAGATATAAGGTAAGAGCAGAATTACTACTAATAAAGGAAGCAGTGTTTGTAATTCATTGAGAGTTGTGCTGCATCCACTATATTTGGGAATGTTCTTTATTCTGTGTTACACTTCAGCCATGTTTGGCAGCAGGGTGATATCAGAAGCTTCAGTGAATTTTGGATGCTGCATCCATTTTGGCTAATGCAGTAGTCATTTCCCAAGAATAGTGTCAACTCTTTTGGCAGTAAAGGGAAATATCATGCATCTTTATACTACCTAAAGCAATGGGGTCCTGATATGGGGACTAACACCTATAAAGAATGAATTGCAGAAGATGCATAAGAAACAATATGCAGTCATTGCATCATGTCACATAATATTGTAGCTGGGAAAGCTCTCTTAATTAGATATGTTACTCATGATTTAGAAAAGGTGCTGGTGCTTATGAACTGAAAGTCTGTTCTAATGGGGAAAATGTAGGAGGCTAAGAGAGGTGGATCAGTTTTGATGAAATCTGTTGAATGTTAGAAACTAGAAAAGGGAACACAGATAACATACTGTTCTTGGAAGCATTTTAGAACTACCAGTTTCACCTGGCTGTTCTGTTTCTTCCTTGGCCTGTAGAGATGGGTGCCTACAACAGCCTGTGAGCCCACACACTTGCAATAAAGGGGAGTAAAAAGTAAAGATATTTACACCAGATATTCTGCAACAGTTAAATAATGGCGAGCAAATAAAAATGGGTAAGTTGTAAGCAAGCTTAAACTAACGGTTTTGTTTAACCATCAGCATCATCGAACAAAAAACCCCAATATTGGACGGTAGCCCAGATGACCATGGTCTGTATTTTCAGAACAGAACTGCTCTACTGCTCCATCTAGCGTTTTTTGGCTCTGTTAAAAGTCAGGGCCGGATCTAATTTAAATAAACCCAGTATCTAACAGGGGCCTGATCTAGTGCCATTGAATTTCATACTCATGACATTTCTCTCCTTACATTGCCAGGCGGTCCTCTGCCAAAGTCCACAGTAGTTGATTTGAAATCACTTCACATTAACTAAATTTCATAAGCATGGTAGAAATCTTGTGTCCTCAGCATAAAAAGGGCATGGATCTGTTGGAACAAGTCCAGAGGAGGGTCACAAGGATGATCAGGGGACTGCAGCACTTCCCGTATGAAGATAGGCTGAGAAAGTTGGGGCTGAGGGGTGACCTCATCAGTGTTTACAAATATGTAACCGGTGCGTGTCAGGATGATGGAGCTAGGCTTTTTTCAGTGATATCCAGTGATAGGACAAGGGGCAATGGGTGTAAACTGGAGCATAGAAGGTTTCACATTAACATCAGGAAGAACTTCTTTACTGTGAGAGTGACAGCACTGGAACAGGTTGCCCAGGGGGGTTGTGGAGTCTCCCACACTGGAGATATTCAAGGCCCACCTGGACAAGTTCCTGTGTGATGTACTCTAGGTTACCCTGCTCTTGCAGGGGGGTTGGACCAGATGATCTCTTGAGGTCCCTTCCAACCCTTGGGATTCTGTGATTCTGTTCAGCCTGGAAAAGGCTGCGTGGAGACCTCATAGCAGCCTTCCAGTATCTGAAGGAGGCCTATAGGGATGCTGGGGGGGGACTCTTCATTAGGGACTGTAGTGATAGGACAAGGGGTAATGGGTTAGAACTTACACAGGGGAAGTTTAGATTGGATATAAGATGGAAATCCTTTCCTGTTAGGGTGGTGAGGCACTGGTATGGGTTGCCCAGGGAGGTTGTGAATGCTCCATTCCTGGCAGTGTTCAAGGCCAAGTTGGACAAAGCCTTGGGTGACATGGTTTAGTGTGAGGTGTCCCTGCCCATGGCGGGGGGTGGGGTGGGGTGGGGTGGTTGGAATTTGATGATCTTACAGTCCTTCCCAACCTTAACTATTCTATGATTCTATCTTCCTACAGAGAATTCATCCCAGACTGGAGACTCAATTTTGTAGGAATAACTCCAGCAATAGGGACCTTCAAAGCGTTTTCCTGCTTAATTTACTCTTTAGTGCAAAGTAAGTAGGGAAAGGTGATATTCAGATGGCATTGTAATAAGTTGGTTTTGTGGCGACTTCCATGTTGTACAATGTGACAGGCATCTCATCGTCTACTAGCAGCATTTTTTAAAGTCTGTACTAAAAATCAGTGCTGGTAAAGCAGGGTTCATGTGATGGGAGATGCAGGAAAAATCTAAATTTCTGAATGTTTTTTAGCATAACTACAAAAATATATGAAGTTGTGTTATCTCTCGTGGTTATCTGAGTTGTTTTATTTAAAGTAGTAAATTCTGCTCTACTCCTCCTCATGCAAATGACTGAAGCGCAGAGAGGCTGTAAATTACGTGGCTGCTTCAGTCCTGCCTGGTGCCTGGATCTATCAGTTCTAATCCAGAAATCCCACAGTGGAAATGCTGCACTACTGAACACTGACGCTCTTCAGTGGATACAGGTTCAGAGAAGGGCTCTGTACAATGGGGATATTCAGCTGATCCTGAGGTGGCTGCCTTGTCCTTTTCTTTCCAATGTCTGGATTTGCCCCTTCCCCAGCCTGCCTTCATGGGCTCTCATGTTGTGCTGCTGGTACAATACGCTTCAAGTCAAACACACGTTTTTTGTTAAAAGTCATCTCTTCCAACATAAAAAGTGCAAACTGAAATAAAAAGTGCAATCAACACCTTTTTGACAATACAGCAGAACATTAAATTTACACATACAAAATAACAGAATATTTAGTCTTAGAATTTTACAGAAAAATAATCAGATAAAGTGCAAATAAAAAATATGCGTAACTTTTTTTTTTTATAAGCTTTCATCATATGTTTACAAACAACTGATTTTGAACAGCACAATATTTACAGTTTGGCAGTCTGTGAATTGTTGACAGAAGGTTCTGAAGTTGCTGGAACAAGAGGTTCTTAAGTTGCTAGAACAAGCACTGGTTTCTCATTTCTCAAGTTCTGCTTCCAGGATTTCTCCCCATGTGTCAGCGTCCATGGGATACATGCTTTTCTCTGGCAGGCTGTTCCGTGAAGGAATGTTGCTGTATTTCCCACTCAGCCATTCTTTCTTCACTTTGCTTTTCCAGTAGTTTCTCAGTAACGTGATCTGATGGAAAAACAGACAGCGCAAGTCTTGGAAATGAACTGATTTCAGCTGCATTCAATGCAAGTAAGTTTTTGCATTGGAAGAATGCTAGAAAAAGGATTTGAAACATGTCTTTGGATATCTAGACTAAGCCCAGGAAGGTATGCTGCTACCAAGAAGCAGACCTTCATCTATTTCCAACTTTTCTGTTCTAAGTTGGGTGGAGAACCACTTCTTGCCTTAATTCTTTGAAGGTCAAGATGAAAACCCTAAACCAGGAATTCATCTTCCTTACTCCTTAAAAGAGATGCCTTTCACTTTCTCTTCCTATTGAGGTTACTTGTGACCTTTAACTCATTTGGGCTCTTAATGCAGGCTGGCTGGTTTCTTCTTTTCAGCCTTTCAACCTTTTGTTGCAAGAAAACTGTCTTCAACCTTTTAGTGCACAAAGATGCTGATTCTGTGTGTTTGTTCTCCTACTTCAAATCCCCACCAGGTAAGATAGAGAATCAGTACAGGTAGTTCTGGAAATTCCTGTGCAAGAGTAGGAAGATCTGTGCATTCAAAAGGCAACCACTACCTGCTCATGGCTTTGCCTCATACTGAAACACCTCTACGTGTGAGAGTACAGAACTAGGTTGTTTTGGGTTTGGGTTTTCCTTTTTTTTGCTGCTGCGCCTCTCTTTTTACCCCTCCATGGACCCCCTGCTCTTGAACACACCAGCTAAAACAAGGTGGGGAATCACGCTCTAGCTGGTCCAGAGTAGTAACTGAAACCTCTCCCTTCCTGATCTACTTCAGCTTGCAGGCTGTGACAGATCTTCCAGTGTGATCAGCTCTGAACTCCTCAGAGCAGCTGTGACTGGGAGTGTGTGTGGGGAGAGTTTCAAAACAGCTTCTCCTTGTTTCCTTGTCTCTACCCTGATTTTTATTTATTTATTTATTTATTTATTTATTTTCCTCCTGGATGCATGTTGCTTAAGGTGTACTGAAGCAGAGCTATCCAAGATGCAATTCTGGGAAGTCATTCCTCACCAGAACTATTCCCATCAAATGCAACCAGAGAGCACATACTGCCAAGTGGGGTATGTTGTCTTCTTTTACCCCCCCAGCCCTGCCTACAGGAATGTGGGCTTTCTTCCATGCTAGGGCTGTGCAGACTTTGATGTGATGAGTCACAGAACCATAGAATGGTTTGGGTTGGAAGGGACCTTAAAGCTCATCCAGTTTCAATCCCCTGCCATGGGCAGGGACTCCTTCCACTAGAACAGGTAGCTCAAAGCCCTGTCCAACCTGGTTCTGAAAAGTGCCAGGGATGGGGCTGTGTGGGGTGGTGAGGACTAAACGGAGCAATCTCAGCTGGGCAGATGTGGTCGTGGGCAGGAAGCAGGTCAGCCTGGACTTATCCCTGTGTGCATTGTACCAGATGTCCAGCTGTTGGGATGCGCTACTGAGCCACGCTGTGATTACAGCGGTTCTCCCATTACCCTGCGACAGATGAGCTCTGCTGAAGTAATGTGACACGCTTTTATTGCCAATCCCAGAAGCCTCGACGCTGCCGACACGACGTCGCTGGCGTTACCTTTACCTTCCAGGAATATCCGTTTCCTCGGTCGCAGTCGATCTCCCGCTGGCACACGGCCCGCACGCTCAGGCAGTGGTGTCTCCATAGGCGGTCGTTGCTCTCGATGACGCGGTGCCAGCCCTTGCATGTCACGGACGCGTGACACAAGCTCTCAACATCGAGGTCGCTGAAAATCCGGGAGCTGACCTCCGGTGGGAGGAGAGCCACGAAGTCAGCCGGGCCCCCCCCTCCTCGGCCGGAGGGGAGGAGCGCGGGTCCGGCGGCGGCAGCGCGTTCCCCGTCCATCCCCTCAAACTCGGGGCGCGGAGGGCACCCCTCCAGTCACCGCGGGTTGCTGCGGTGATCCGCGGCCCCCGGGCCCTGTTCCGCGCCCTCCGGCATGGCGCTGACCCAGCCCGCCGCCGCGGGGGTGCCCCTGTGTCTTGGGGTGCCGGTGTTTGTATTTTGAGGAGAACCCTTCCGCTTCCCGGCTCCGTCGCTGCAGGTCATGTGACCGAGCGCCCCTGCGTCATCCGCCGGCGCGCCAGGGACCCTCCGGAGTGTCTCGGTGGTGGCTTCGGCCGGGCCTTGCCCCGTTCCGGTACCCCCGAGGTGAGGCCGGTCCCGCCCCTGGACGCACCGAGCTACCGGTGCATCACCTCGCGGCCTCCGCTCCGTGGGGCCGGGCTGCGGCCTTCCCCCGCCTCGGCCTGACGTCTGGTGTAGGGCGCATCTCCTGCCCCAGCTGCGGGCTGCTCCCGGCCGAGGTCAGGGTGGTTTTGTGTCTCGATTCACCGTGTTCAGAGGGGCACACGCCAAGGCTGGAGCCCGTGCAGCACCATAACCTCTCGGGGAGCACCCGGAGGGGCCTGTTGTGTGGGGCACTGCTTGGTCGCTTGCGTTCCTCTTCAGGAGGCAGCGAACAGCGCGGCCGATCAGTGTGTGCCTTGCCTGTGAGGCAGGAAGCTGTGGCAGGGGCTCCCGAGTGGTGCTGTGCGGTGCATACAGCCGTAATTAAACATATAGACGAGATATTAAAGAATTCTGCACTGTGAGGGTGGTGAGACCCGGGCACAGGGTGCCCAGAGAAGCTGTGGCTGCCCTGGAGATGTTCAAGGCCAGGTTGTGTGGGGCTTGGGGCAACCTGGTCTAGTGGAAGGTGTCCCTGCCCGTGGTAGGCGACTGTAACTAGATGAGCTTTAATGTGAATTGTCGAGTGGAAGGGTAAAGGGTTAAAGGGAAAACAGTTGCAGTTTTGGTGCACTTTCAGGTGAGGTGGCTCTGAACTGAGGCTTTTAAAACCAGCGCTTGAGTGTGTGATGGCACCTCAGAGCTGCAGTATTGTAACCTTTAGTTAGGGCTAGACAGGAAGTGCTGGATTCATAGTGTGGCTGATCCTGAAAACTGTGTCTTAATGTTGTTGTGTCACTTTTATTGTAGAATCCAATTCTGGGAACTTTCAAAGATTTACAGCAAACCAAATTCTAAGCTGTGATTTCAGCTTTCTCAAAGTTTTGTCATGGCAGTGACTAGTATAAATTATGTACTCAAACCCCAAACCCCTACAGTGGTGGTCAGCGGGTATTGGAACATTTTTTGTTTGGAATATTTCTAGTGGAAGGTAGAAAGGAAGGAATGTTTGTTTCTTCTGCAAACTGATGTAAGAGTATGTTACATTCAGTTTAGAAATGTATTAATGGCAACATTCAGACCAACTTCTGTATTTGAGTAAAGAGTACATGGTTATATTTGTTTGAATAACTACCAATCATTTTGTTTTGTCAGAAAAAACCCAGGAGGCTGATGCATAAGAAACACTGAGTGTTCCCCCAGTTGAGACATCTTGTAGTCCATTGTTAACAGAACCAGCTTCTTCCAACTCTGAGGTACAGGGAGCTGCAAAAATGACAAAAAATGCTGCTACTTCCAGGCATTTGGTGGGTGCTTAATTTTTTAAATTAAGTTTTAATATTCGTAGGCATGTGTTGAAAGGTGGTGTGTTTTCTAAACCCATTTCTTTTTTTCTCTGAGATGTAAATCATGACAAAGTTGTGTATTCAAAATATCTGTTGTTTTATTGATAAAGATTGTGTGCTACGCAAGTATATGAATGTATTTGTATTGTGTATTTATGGTTATGATAATTATGCTGCAATAATTTGTTCTCTCAAATATACAAAAATTGCTATTGCTACAGGAATATTTTGACCTAACAATGTTCTAGCTGAGTTCAGTACTACAGAACTGAAGTCCAGTTCTGGGCTGTGGGCTGTGTTGGTACCTGCAAAGGCCTAGAGAAACGAATGCCTGTTCTTCCAACTAGCCTAAAAGCTTCTGAAATGTGCTTCTGGGGTGCCTGTAGCTGGACTGTGGTGATGCTTTGTGCTTGGAACAAGTAATATCTGTTTGTAGCGTACTAGCATCCTATTTCACTTGAATTGTGCAGTTGTGATGGAGTTGTGTTGTCAAGATCCATCCAAACACACAGATAAAGAGCCTCCAGATTTTCTCTGGCAGCTGGCTCGCTGTCCAACAAAACAGAATTTTCAAAGCAAGAATCCTTCCTCTTTTAAACACTGCCAAGTCAAATGGCTTTCAGACAGTCTGATAAATAGTATATGGAGTCAGTAGGATACTCCTTGGTTCTTCTCTTGTGTGTCTACCAACATAGTACTGAAAGGAATACACTGATCAACATCACTGAATAGCAGACAGTAACAATATCTACATACAAGAAATTAAATGTCAGCAGTTACTGTAGCTGAGATTTCTGGGATAGACACCTTTTAGTAGTAAGTAGAGATTCAAACAGGTGGAATGACTTAGAGTGAATAAGTATGTCCTGAACATCATTTTGGTGTATTTACATTGTTTATACAGACAAGTTAGAGTGTGATTCTTTTCTGGAGAAAGGAATTGAAAGAATGCTAGCATGTTGTTTTTCCTGGTTGGTTGGTTGGTTCTTTGGGGGGGGTGGGTTGCCTGTTTTGCAAACAGGCATTTGTTTGTTAAATCTTCTCTTTCTTTTATCTTTACATATGGAAACTCTAGACCAAGATAGATGCTGGTAAAGCTCTTCTTTGAAATTTTCAGTTTGTAGCCTTTTAGATATTTATTCCAAAGGTCTGAGGAGGGTTTTGTTTGTTTTTTTTTTCCTGTTTCTACAGATGTCATTTTTCTGAGTGGAGTAGAAAAAAATGTAAAAAATCAGACAATGAGCACCATCCAAAAAGCCAGGCTGTGTTTGAAGGACATAATTGTGTACAAACTTGTGATTTAGGTTTTTTCCCTTTCTTCTGTAACTGGAAAAAGGTACTAAACTGTAAATGTTGTTTCAGGTTCCTCTTTTTGATGATAATGCAAGTGAACAGTCAAAATCTACCCAGAGAAAGAGAGTACTTCCATCTTGGATGCTGGAAAAAGACCTCCTGGTTGAGAGAATTTCTGAGCCTGTACCGAAAGGAGGTAGGTTTGCAGTGTGGTACATTTTCATACCAATATACGCTTGTGTGCTTTGATATAATTTTCTTTCATTATAATGGTGGTGGTAGAAAGTATTAATGTGTTACTTCTCTTTCCGTGCTCCATGCCTGGCAGCTGACAGAAACTGACTTCTCTTACCTCCTTTGTCATCAGTCCTACAGGCGTGACAGAGTTCTTTGTGATGAGTTGTTTTCTTTATGTTCCTTTTTTATTTTTTGTTTTCTTTTTAATGCCAGGTAATACACTGTCTTTGGACACCCTTTTCTATAAGCTATACAAATTCTACGTAGTCTCTGTACCTTTAATTCCAAGTCTTTTCCACATTTAGGTCACTGATGTGTTGCCCTTCTAAATTTAGTTTCTTCCAGTTTCACAGGTCTTAAAGGTAGTTTTGTTTGGGGTTTTTTTTTTATGTTTGTCTGTGTTAGTTTTTTAACTGACTGCATCAAACTTGATCACTTAGTCCAAAGTTACTTCTAGGAGGAGCAGTTCATAACGGTTTCTATATAGTAACTATATTCTATATTGTTTCATACCAATATGAGGCCAAAATAGAATAGCATTCCCTCTTGTCCTTTCCACAAAAGGAAATTGCTGAATGTGTGATAACATCCTGCTGCTGTGTATCAACAGTAACAGCAGCAAAATACTGTGTTCAGTCACTATCAATGGGAGACACAGGGGTGCCACACTGGCACAATCCCAAGAAAATTTTCTAGCATGTCTGGCTTTGGTCCTGGGAGCTTGTTAAGACTTCTAAAACTGCCATTAGACATCCTGTCACAAACTTGCCAAAAGGCATTTATTGCTCTGATGACTTCTATTGATGGAACTGGAGGACTAAAGAAATGAGAGAAGGAAAATGAATATATACATTAACAATTCTACCCCAGTGTTTCTGTCATTCTCTGTGTGCCCCACCCTGCTTGCAGCCCTGTGGTGAGGTGTGAGGTGGTTTAGATGCTGACTTCCCTCTCGTAGCCAGTGTAGGTGTATGAACTGTGGTTAGTGTGCGCCTGTCTGCTCCTCCGTGTCCCACAGCTATTCCTTAATGCCTCTCTCCCCATGTTCTATTTCTGCTAAGCTGGCGTAATGGAGAAATTTGGCTCTTGATTCCCAAGCAGGCCTGCAGAAATATTTCATACAGTGTCTGACTAATTGCTTCTTATCTCCTACAGTAAATGCAGGTGTCTGGGTGGATTGACCCAGACAATGGTGGCTTTAAAAACATCTGTCATATGCCAGTGCACACCCTGCCTGTTCCTTTCCTCTTCTGTTTTTCTTTTTGCCTTTCTTTCCCTTTTCACACAAGAGGACTTCCACTGCACAAGGGTGTGCACAAGAGGACTTCCACTGCCTGAGTCCTTCACTAATCTGATTGTTTTCTTCATGTTTGGGTTGTTTTTTTGAGGTTTGTGGTTTTTTTGTTTGTTTTGTTTTTAGCAAGTACTGTCATGTTTGTTACATATGTGCATTTAAGGTTTGTATCAAAGACTGAAGGTTTTGATCATGTAGGAGATTTGGAGCTGTGAGGGTGTCCTGGGTTCAGCAGTAGAAGTCATTTTTCTCCTTAGTAGCTAGTGCAGTGCTGTGGTATTTTGACTTTCAGCCTGGGAACAGTGCTGATAACACCGATGTTTTTAGTTGTTGCTAACTCATGTTTACTCTGACCAAGGACTTTCTGAGTCTCATGGTCTGCTGGGGAGGAGGGGAAGCTGGGAGGAAGCAGAGACAGGACACCCGACCCAAACTGACCAAAGAGGTATTCCATACCACAGCACGTCATGCCCACTATATAAACTGGGGGTAGTTACCCTCAAGCCGGGGTTGGGCTGGGTATTGATTGGCTGGTGGTGAGCGGTTGTATTCTCTTCCTTTGTTATTCCCTTATCATTATTATTATCGGTGGTAGCAGCAGGGGTTTGTGTTATACCTTAGTTACTGGACTGTTCTTATCTCAACCTATGGGAGTTACATTCTTTTGATTCTCCTCCCCATCCCTCTGGGAGCAGAGGAAGGAAGGGGAGGGAGTGAACAAACTGCTGTGTGGTACTGAATTACTGGCTGGGTTTAAACCACTGCAGAGGGAAAGGGCAACAGCTGTGTGCTGTTGAAGGCCTGATCTTGAAGAAGCTAGAGACACAACCACTACTGGAGCTGTTTAAAAAATCATTATGTGAAATCACGATTCTAGCTTAGAATGGGCTGCTGTAATAAAACAACTAATCTCTTCTGTATATCTAAAGTACTCCCTTAAAATTATGAAACGATTTGCATGTTTTTAGGGCTGTATTGGATGGGAAGGTAGAAAAGTTGAGAACAAAATTAAAAGGCTGCTCTTGCATTTATTTGGGGTTTTTTTGTCTGTCTTCTACTGGAAAGGTAAAGCTTATCTGTGGTTTTAAGATTGGGTGTTAAAATTTGGAAAAATTCCTTGTTTCATACATGACTTTGGCATGTCAGTATTTTTTGAAGGGGAAGAGTTTTTGAAGTCTTGCGAAATGGCGTCAAGTATCTTCCTTCTGAATGCATTTCACAGCAGATGGAGCTATAAGAAAACCAGGACAGTGGCCTTAGCTGTCTCCCAGCTGCGTATCCAGAAAATAGTAGTTCAGTACAGAGATCTTACAGTTTTCTGAGGTGTGAAGCTTTCCAAAGAGAGGCACAAATTTGCTGCCTTTCTGTTGGTTACTGGCTGATGGAATAATCAGCCATGATGTGATTGACTAGGCAAGTGGGCATACACTGATTTTGCCATAGCCTAATTGATGTTTGCTTGTCTAAACTGGTAGTCTGAAGTGATACTTACATGATACCTCTGTGGTAAAAGTTGTTCTTAGACATGTGGTTTACTTGATGAGTGTCCTTTGTGTAAATGAAATTGTCAGTGTTACCGATACAGTCATTCCAGACCAGTCTTTGCCAATTTTCCTCCAAATTCAGTCCAGAATATCTTTTGCTACATGTTTATTGTTGTCTTCCAAATTTTCCTGTCAAGCATCTGTTTTATTCTAAAATATACCTTTTTTTACTCCTGTAAGTGGGAAGTGAAATATGTATTGTTGAAACAGCATATGCACAGCTGCTGCTATTTCTCATGCTTTTGATCAGTGTTCTCCTTTGCTGTAGCTTTAGATTTCTAACATGGTAAGGATATTCTTGTAAAATTGCATTCTAAAGGTACCCTTTTATTTTTCTTTTAAGGTAATAGAATGAAAAAAGGCCAAGGATGGGGAGAAAGCAATATGGAGTCATTAGAATCAGAAGTAAATGTGCAACAGAAAAAAAGATCAGCTTCTGAAGAAACTATAGAGGATTTTGAAGGTGAAGAGGAAGATCAAAAGAAAAGAAGCTGTCTTTCCATCCCTGTTCCTTCATCTCAGGTAATTATTGAGTGTAGCTGGCAACCTCATGTTGAAGGTTGGGTCTAGAAACAGAAGTATGTATTCTGCTTGTGATTTGTTCTTTAGTGGTTGTTTTGAAATGCCAGACCGTTGGCCAGGTCTATAGCAAGGATCATGGAAGCCTTCAGTCTTGGGTTTCTAACACTTCCTTCTCAGGATCTCGAGTTAGGCCCCAGATGTTCCAAGAGAAATACCAGACTTTCAGCTTTATACCAAGAGGCTGGAAGACATGGGCCAATGTACTGTTCCTAGGACTGGCTTGGTGTGTGGTTTCTTCTTTCTGAAAACTCTTGAGGGACAGGTGATGGTATGACACTGGTGTAATGCAACATTGGACTTTGTCCATACTAAAGCCATTGTGATTGGTGAAGTTTTATGATGAGAAAATCAGGGTATGTGGCTCAGCAGCTGCTATGTTTTGAAGAAAGGTAGCATGGAGTGTGCTTATGCCACTATCTTAAAATCTGAGTCAAAAAAGGGAGGACCCCCCCGAAATCCAAAATAAGCTTGGCAGTGAGCGAACAGATACTTCAATCCAGCTGGTCAACCCCTGTGTTTCCTCAAAGTACAGCTGTGTTTACAGGCAGTTAAAGACTTGGTGATAGCACCCTGCTAGTAATGAAAAGAGAAGGATCATTATCAAAGACAAACAAACTATATTCTGGTGAAAGCAGACAGAGGCTTTCACTGACATTTCCTTTAAGTGAACAACCTAGAGAGGTTTTCCTAATCTCTAGCATTAGAATTGCCTGGATCTGTTCTAGGATCTGATAAAATCCTGTTATTTGGTGTGCATCATTGGTTTTGACACTGAAAACTATTGGGGTTTTGGTTTTGTTTTTTTAATTAAGCTTAAGGATAGTTGAAATGATCTGCTCATGGAGATCATACCCCGCCAGGGTGGTTTTGCTGTAACATAGTGGTATCTTTACCTGAAAAGAGCAGTGAGCTTTGTTGTTGACTAGCCTCATTAATACCAGCTGCAGTGCTGTTTTCTCTTTGTCAAATTACAAGGTGAGTGACTACATAATGAATTACTTCATTTTGCAGTTTGTAAGTGTAAAGCTTTACTTATTTTTTCCTAATAATTTAATCAGTCATTTTTATCCCAAGCACAGTTTAAGAAGTTGCCTTCAGAACTTTGCAGGAAAAAATAATGGGTTATTGCAAGAAAAAGTAATAATCAGAGACAGCTCTATAAGATTGGAGTTTTGATATCAAAATCATGCTCCTGCTGTTTAAGGTGATTGAGAAAATCTGCTGAAGGGTAGGGAGTAAAAAGGGTGTTAATTCTTCCCGGGGCCAGCAGCCGCCAGGTGGCAGTGAGCTCACATACGAGTTAAAACCAGGGCCAGCAGTGCTGATGGCTTCCGTTTTCCTTGCTTGCACCCTGGTTTTAATTAGTACCTAATAAATGTGAAAGTGTTTGGTTTCATTATATTCAACAGAGGCAGTGGATTGAAGTGTGTAGTAGATGAGTTGCAAATGGGAGTGGCAAATTAATTTAGTCTTCCTTTTGTTAATGAAGCTGCAGTTGTTTGCTGAGCCTGATTTTGTGAGTCTTGATAAGAGTCATCTTTGCCTCCAGTTGAATTACTGAATATGCTGTTGTCAGGATCAGTTGATACTAATGTGGAATTTGCCCTTTCTTAATCACATTCCATCTCAAATCTAATTGTCTCTGCTTCTGGTTAACCATTTTATGGGGTATGCAATAAAAGGAACAAAATAAAATAGGAATCCACCAGCTGATTTTCAAGCTCTGCCAAACACGTGTAAACTAAGTATAAATTTACTGGAGGGGAAGTTAAGATAATACACTGTAGAAAGCAGAGACCTTAAAATAGTTCTATAATGTTTTAAAGTAGTTCAGCCTTCAGCATAGGTATGCTTTTAGGTAATGTGTCAGTTGTTAGGACAGTGTTCCTTTCTTCATTATGTATCTCATATACTTTTTTTTTAAAGCACACATCTCTTATTTTAAATGTATATTGCACCAAAATTTTAAAATGCAGCACTTGTCAAAACTGAAATCTTTGCCTGATGGTATTTACTGACAAATTTTTATGATTTAGAGTCACAAGCTAAGGCATTTAAGATATATTGTGGTAGGATTAAGCTCAATGTATAAATCACGAATTCCCATGTCTCTCTCATATGATATTTTATGTAGAGAAATACATATTCCATATATCTTGATACTTAAGGGATTAAAATAGAATCTTTTATTGAAATGTTTGTTTTTCTAGATCCTACTGTATGTTCACACATATAATCCCCATTCGTTTTTCAGGAACAGTATTTCTAATAAATATTTTAAACTAAAGTCCTTGGATTATTCACAAACTGAGGAAGTGAGAGAGGAGCCTGACTCCAGTGTGAGGAAAATGGAGCGGAGGATGGTTGCTCTTGGATAAGTTTTTCTTTAAAGTGTGTGTGTGTGTACTTCACTTGAGCCTTTCATTCAGCAGCTGTATTTAGCAGCTAACTGGAGTTTGGGAAGCGGAGCAGAAGATTTTAAAGGCTGGACCAGACTTTTCTTTCAAGGTCCTTTCCAACCTGGGCTGTTTTGTGATTCTCTGATTTTGAAAATGATAAGGCAGAGTTTGATCTTAAAGCTTTTAATTCTGAAGAGTGTAAATTTTCAGGTTCTTCAAAATGTAACCTTGTTCCACAGAATACGTCTGGATTTCCTCTTGAGAATACCATGAGAAACATGGAAGGAAATGGCAAGACTGGAACAAAAAACCATGGAAGTTCTCTGGAAAAAAATGATAGGCAGCTGAATAGTAAACGGTCCAAAAAAGTAGGTCAGATCTCCAGTAAAGAAAATAGAATTGAGGAGACAGAAAACAAAGAGCCGATTACTGGTTCTACAAGCCAACAAGCTCACTGGGGCAGGACTTCCCAAAATTTTGATGCCCAGGAAGGGATTCTTGAGCCTGATGCAAATCTGGATTATGAGACTGAAATCTCTGATTCAACCAGAAGTGCAGATGCTTCAGAAAGCTCCAGACAAATCAAGCGTAAGAGGACACCTTGCATGTATGGATCAGGCTGTTACAGGTAAAGCAAAATTAAAACTAGCTTAAGCTGTCTTGTTATTAAGGAGTAACGTATTAGCTATGGAAGAGGAAACAGTGAAGTAGTTACAAGCTTTGATTTGAAAATAAAACTTTTGGTAAAAAGAGGACTGATGAGAAGCAAATGGTGTAACAAGAATTTTTAAAGTATGAAAGGAGGAGCCAGGATGTCTTGCATTAGCAGGTAACCTTTAATATAACCCAAACAAGGGATGAAGTACTTCAGCAAATTAAAAGATGAAGTGGTGTAGGAAATAAGAAACAATAATAAGAAAAGGTCCATTTTAAAAAGAAGACAAAACCCATGTGTGTATGGTACAGGTACGAGGGGGAGAAGAGATGTAGATGGTTGAAATGAGCAACAGGCTGGTTTTATTAGCAGCTGAAACTTTTATGAAAGATGCTTGTATTTATTGAAGTTATTGCATGCTTTGTGATCTGAATACTTTAAATACCTATTTGTCAGCCCTATTTTTTTTAAGCTTTCAGTCTTCCTCCTAAAACCAGAACAAGGAATACTTACAAACTCCGTATTAACCCTTATCTGCTTAGTGTCTTTTGTAATATTTCAAGTGAAGAGCAGTTTTGTTTTTTTTAACTTTCTCTTCTGCTACTCATTACCTCTCAATTTATGGTGGAATATAGAAATGTTTTGTGTGATACAAATATTCCAAAGAAGTTCAAAACCACTAGTGTTGAGTGCTAGCAAATGACCAGTGACCTGAGAAGTGCATTTAGGAGAAGGTTTTGAGCTCTAGATAATTCATGTTCATTATAAGCACAAAAGATGAGGGTAATCCAGAAACCAGGGGGGATGGGAGGAGTGGTGTGTGTGTCCTGTGATTTCTTATTATTATTAACAATGATTTTCTTTTCCCCCAGTGGGCTTGAGCAATAGGAAAAAAAACAGTGAGGTTTAGAAAACAAAACAGCACAAGTAGATGGCTTATTGTGTATGTGAGGAGTACCTACTGCTGTGGATAACTATCAGTAGTATAAAGCTGTTGTGTTAATGAGCACGTCAGACTTCGGATTTTCATGTACCTTTCTTTCACATATCTCAATTTTTGCCCTTAAGGATTATGTTGAGAGCACGTTTTTTTATTAGGCAGTTAAGCTGATCCCATAGTACAAATGCAGCCTCTAGTTTGCTCTAGCTACCTTTAATTTTGCTCAGACAAGTTTTTCCTTGTATTGTGTGGTTTAAGCTGGTTTAATGCTCTGATATGGTGAAGTATTCCTAATGTTTAGGAAAGCAGATTTTAGTTACAGGTAATATGGAATAGGGGTTGGCATGTGCACATTTCTTCTTGGGGTTTTATTCTAAAACATTGGCAGCAATACTTTTGGAAAGTGTTGCCTTATAAGAAAAAAGAATGCTCTGAAATAACACATAACAAAATCTTACTTTGCTAGAGAATATTTCTAAGTAGGAAATATAAAAAACGTCAGCTTTGATCTTCAGGAAATGTCAGGGGACTAAACCTTTTTGTTTGCAGTAAAAGAAATATGCTTTGTAGTCTGTCTTAATATTTGTTTTTGATGCAAGACCACCAAGTAGTCTTTCTGCATTGATGGGATAGCTGTGTTAGAGTAAAGCAAATCACTCAGTTATCCGTATTTTTGACAACACGTACTGAAGCGACATGAGTGGATACTTTGAAGGAGCACACTGATAGTATATGCACGGTTTTCCGTTCCATAGTGTTTTTCTTGTGCAAAAACTAGTTTTAGAGTTGTGAAGGAAGAGGAGTTGCTTTGAGTACAACAGGTATTTGGTTCCTTTCTCCTTCATGACTTTTAACTTTGTGAAAGGTGTCTTCAAACAAGAACATCTTCTAATAAGTCAACATCTTAAAAGAGTACTGCGTTAGTAACCATAGCATTTCCCTAAAGTTTTGTTTTTCTAGGTGAGGTTCATTATCCATAAAATGTTATTTATCCAATAACTACACGCTCTTCAGCATTGTAGTCTTTATTTTGTACTCTCATATTAAGATATACTTGTGTTTTGGATAGAACTCCAGCATGTTTGGTATGTGCTTAGTAAAATAGCATAAATTGAAAAGATTAGATGTTCTATTAATTTTATTAGATTTCTCTTAACATCTTAAACATCTGGGAAATAACTTTGTAACCCATATTTCAGTTTCTGAATTTATTAATTTAAAAACACTGCTTTTGAAAGACTCAAGCTTCATGCAAACCTCTCACTCCAGGGATGCTTCTTTTCATTGTCCTTCAGTGTCAGATTCTGAGCCTGAAGCTTTGCCACCTTGAAAGAAACTGCAGTTAGGAGGCAAGTGTTCTGTGTGTGTTATATCTGGCTATGTTTGTTGTCAAGGAACTTACTCTTTCAGCACTCTCTTGAGTTCATTTTCTTGTCTGCTGCTTGTTTTTCAAAGTTAGAAGAATAGGAAATTAGAACTAAAAATAGATCCAAACCCACCCCTCCCTTTTCAAGGCCTGCATAGAAGGGGTGTGGTAGACCTGTTCTCTGCTGATTGGGTGTGTAAAAAGCTGTCTCACAGCTGTCAAAGCAGTGCACGCTCAACCAGCCTTTGGGTTTGTATGTGCATTCTTCTAAATGCTTTGATCCTTGTTTATGAAGATAAGTATTTTTCCTTGCACCTTAAGCTTGTAAATCTGTCAGCTGAAAACCTGTGTCTGTTTTTTTTGTGTGTCCTCTCTTGTAATAAGACTCACGATATAGAACTTAGAAACATGTTACATGCAGTTGTGGCATAACTTTGGGTTTGAATTCTGTGGCTTTATAACTAATGCTGGTAATTCATTACATTTTCACTACCAGTTTCCTTACTAGCTAGAAAATAGCCCTTAAGGTGTGAGGGCTCTCTGGATGTGATTATGAAGACCCAGGGATCAATCAACTAATCAATTAAACTTGCTTTAGGAAAAGTTTGTAAGTATCTTTTGGTAGCTGCACAGATGAAAAACTGTCTTAAATGTTTCATTAGGCAATATGTAACTTCTGCTTGAGATGACCACATTGATTCCGAAGAACTTGATAAGTTTTATTTGCATAACTTCTATTTGCATATTTTTTTGCATCATCAAGGGTAAGTACACAAATCCAGAGCTGCTGTAAAAGCAAAGTTGCAGTAAGTGTGTTTGAGAAGACAACTATTGTAAGACTTTACTCTTAAAATAGTTTTTTAATTGGTTGATTTTTGTGCGAGTATAATTTTGTTTTGATCAAACGAATAACATATTCCTGTGCAGCGAGATTTTGTGGTGAAATTAAGTAGCTTCGGAGTGCAACTTACACAGCATGATAGATGTTGTGTTCTTAGCACTCCAATCCCTTGTGCCCCAAAAAGAAAATAAAAAAACTTCAAACAAGCCAAACCCTTAATAAGAGGAAGAGGCTTTAGATTTTTGCATGGAGGGAAAATGTTTGCTTAATATAAGCTATGCACTTTTGTGCTTCTGTTTATTTTGCTGGATATTGTTGCACAACACATAGAAGTATAATGAGTACAAATTATCCAGGTAAAGGTAAGATAAAATATGATGTGTCTAATAGTCCTGAGTGTCTGAAGCAGGACATGTGTAAGGTACTTAATAGGTAACATATAATTTGAGGAGCATCATCAACTGGTCCAAAGAATCCTGAAGCCCTGTGACAGGGAGCATACATCAAGATCCTTTTGTTTCTTTTTTCTTTTTTTTTTTTTGGAAAGGAAATGTTTATCTCCTGAAATACAATAGGTTGGATAATCAACAGCTATTAGGCTTTCTTTCCTTGGTGACTATGATGCTACATGTATTTTACTATAGGAATAAATTAATTACAATCATAGAATGGTTTGGGTTGGAAGGCTTCTTAAGGATTGTCTAGGTGCAAGCACCCTGCCACAGGCAGGAACACCTTCCACTAGGCCAGGTTACTCAAATGCCAGTCCAGCCTGGCCTCGAACACTGCCAGAGATGAGGCATACACAGTTTCACAGAACGTTAGTTGCTTCTGTATCCCTTTGAGAATGTGAATTGTGTTTCAAATTACTGAAAATTCTTGCTGCTATTGCTAGTACTAAGTAAGCTTTATACATTCAGAAAACAAAGCAAGTAGCCTTTAAAATGACTTGTTCTCATTTATTTTTTAAATGGGAAAAAAAGTTGGCAGCCAATCCGAGTTTGGTGCAAGAAGTGATGTTTCCTGAGAAATTGTTGTCGAAGACTGGTAAATGCAACCTTGCAATGATTTGCTTTACTGTAAAGTTCTTTACTGTGAGGGTGGTGAGGCACTGGAATGAGTCCTCCAAAGAAGTGGTAAATGCTCCATCCCCTGGCAGTGTTCAAGGCCAGATTGGGCAGAGCCTTGAGTGACATGCTCTTGCGTGATGTGTCCCTGCCGATGGTAGGGGGGTTGGATCTAGATGATCTTAAAGCCCTTTCCAACCCAAACCATTCTGTGATTATAGTTTACCCAGTAGTTTGCAGAAATTAACAGGAAAGACCAGGACTGTCTGTCACCTGTGTAAATCGATCCAGGAGACATTGGTTCTCTCATAAGTAGCGCATGAAAGAGTTCATCTGTAGCTTTCTTGTTGAGTTTCCTGAGTGGAAGATACCAGGCAAATGGAGATTTGAAAGTATTAATACTAAATACCCATTTTTTTCAGATGCCTAAAAGGAGGCCTGAATGACCAGTATTGCTCACAATGCTTAAGTAATCACTTTGCAAAAGTTGTAACGAAAGCTTTTATTTCTTATGACAGTAGTTGAAACGCTGAAATTAGTATTTGTTGTTGCCTATAAAGTCCCTAACAGGTTGTTGTGAATTTAAAGGAAAGAATGCCTGTGATGGGTGAGGGAGCTGTTGTGTATGTAGCTAGCTACATAAATGTTTCTGGCTTTGTGTTTCTAAATGACAACTGTAACAAATGCAAATTAAAGCAGTTAAGTACTTTGCAGTTCAAAGTTGTCATTCTTCCTGCTTGAGGCAAGCAGTTCACTTTTATAATTTGCACACACAATGTTATGTACTCTGGGAATTAGTGTGGTAAATTACTGAAGTATTTTGTGGATGACTTTTGGAAAATCATTTATTAAATTAGCTCATATTTCTTGCTTTTAAATATTATGCTTGAAAAATAAAGCATCCTTAAAATAAATCATAGGGGGAAAGTTGCTGTTGGTACCGGTATGTTCACTTTAGCATATAATGTTTTGTAGTATGTTTTGACCTGTCACATGGGTTTCTCCTGAAGTCCTAATGTGTTATTCTCTGTGCTTTTCAACATCACTTGCAGAAGTTTTATAAAGCAAATGTTTCTCTAAGTGATGTTTATGGCTGCTTTGTGTGGTATGGTTGCAGCCAGAGCTGTTGCCCAGAAGCAGAATTGTTCTTTCAGTGGTGTGTATATTGGTTTTCAGTACTTGCTCACCTTGGATTCAGCTGCATAAGTGCGGTAGAGCAAGAAGTAGTGGATGCTGATAATGTGCTATCCTCACTAGCACTGGTGTGATTTAACTACATGCAGAGTAGTTATGTTGTATGATACATTGTTGTAATTTGATACTTCAAATGAAATGTCATGGTAGCCAAGGCAGACTTGACAGCATAATCAATGGAATGTCCAGCAGACTGCTCCATCTAGAATAATATTCTGTCATTGTGGATACTCACGTAGGCAGTAACTCACATACAGAACAGAAATAATAGAGCCTGAGCCAACAGGCAATCCCTCAAGGGTGTGGGGAATCTTCAAATACAGCATTCTTTCTGCTGTGGTGCATTGGCTCTTCCAGCTTGAGCTACGACTTCAGCAATGTTTTCCATGGCATTTCGATAGCTCCAGAGGGAATCGTGACTCAGCAAGTTAGCCACTGAGTAAGATTCATGCTATAAGACTACATCAGTAGATTGTGTATGTGTTGGGGGTCTGAAACTTAAAGCTGATGGCAAATAGGAAAATCTCTTTTGCAGCGTATGCTGAGAAAAAACTTCTCTCCTGTTATCCTGAAAGGAGGTCTTACATTCTGCATAAAGTTGAATATTAACAGCTTGTCTTCGTGTAACCACAGAAAAATGAGTTGTCACCGATTCAGTAACAACTTTCTTATCTTTACTTCTTGTGTTTAAATGGAACAGTCAGTTCTCAATATTTGTTTTTTTGCAGGAAGAATCCCATTCACTTTCAGCAGTTCAGTCACCCTAATGATGATGACTATTATGAAATGGAGATTATAGCTCAGGATAACAATGATAACCGACCTGAATGTCCATATGGAACAGCTTGTTACAGGTATGAAATGCTGTACAGAATGGGTTATCTTGTTTTACAGGTGAAGAATGTTCTCCCCTGGAGTTGCAAAATGACAATGGAATAAAGAGTAATTCTTGATGTTAAATCTTGACTGTAGCCTTCTGAAATTTATTGCAGACACTGTTGCCTTTAAAGCACCAGAGCCTGTGTGAGCTGGTGAACATGGAAACTTGACTCCTGGAAACTGTTCAGTGACCTAATGATCAACACTTTTTCACTTGTCAACATCTATTAAACTGTTATTCTTTTATATAAGCAATAATTTATTGTTATATGTTCTTGATACATAACTTTTAGCTTACATTTTGATAAAGTATTGGTTGAGATTTTGTACAAGACCTCTTAATCAATATTTGATTTGTTAGAAAATTTAGTCACAGCAATAAAATCCAGCCTATGGCTGACTGCTGCTTTTGTTAAACACTACAGATTTTCCTCAAAAGATCTGTTTTATTCCATTTGTTTCCAAATATCTAGGGTTTACACTTTTATTTAGTGGGGTTTAATGACTGCTGTGTAATCATAAAATGAACAAAAGGATATATATTGAGGCAACAACACTTCTGTGGGGGTATATTGCAAATAACAATTGCTGTGAATAAAGATTGTGCCTGAGCAGAAGCATTTTCTCCTCTGTCTTGCGGAAAGCGTGGTATTCCTAAAGAGTGTGTTCTCTCTGAAATGGAACAAAAAGACTGTAACTTTTAAGAAAAAGCCATGTTATATTGAGCTAATGCAGAGAAAGTATTTCTCTTCTGAAAAGCATCTATGAGATGAATTTCTCATCCTGGGATGAGAAATCTGGCTTTATAACAGTAGTGAAATCACCAACATCCTTTTCAGGAGTACAAGAGATGCTTTATCCAAAACCAGACTCTTTCCTTCCAGATAAGAACACCTCTGTGCTGTATTAATTGATCATTTCTTAATCTGTGTTTCATTCTTTGGTGGGTAGAGGCAAGGAGGCACCCACGAAGCAATGATAATTCTTTCAACAAAACAACATGTAATTTGAAGGGGTTTTGTGTTACATTTGTTGTGTTTATCTGTTGTTTACTATTGGAAGGGAGCATAACTCCCAAGATCAAGACGCTGTGCCTTGGGTAGGGATTGAATGGTCTGATGCTCGTGACAGTAGTAAACCACTGAAATAGCCAATTCTTCATGTTTCAGTACAGTGTATTTAGTAGGAAGCTGTACTTCCATTTTTTAATTCAGATAGCCATCACTTGTAATGCACACATAATCTACTTTGGGACAGCAGTAGCTATAGAATTGTAAATCAAGTTGAAGCATGTGTATTTGTCACAAGTTATTTGAGATAAAACCAGGTTTTTCTGCTGCGGACTGACTGTGCTCTGTTTTTGAAAAATAAGAGAACATAAATAAGCAACTAGTTCTAGAGGCAGTCTTCACAGCAAGGGTATTTTGTAAAATACACCAAAAACTTCTGGAGCTGCAGAAATGAATCTCGAGTTTCAAGCATGTCACATGGATCAGTTCTTATCTCACCGAGCAAATGCATCTAATTTTACAGATTTGGAAGCTATCTCATATCTTGGTTTTGATCAGACATCTATTTTTTTTAATGCTGTAACAAGAGGAAGGCTTTCTTAACCTGGTTTGTATTTTCTCACTCTATAATCTATAAGCTGAGACCTTGCAGTATAGCACTGGTCACAGAATTTTATTTTTAAAAGTAATGAAAATGGTTCATAAAATACCAAGGAGTTTTGGACCAAAAATACTAAGGAATTTTGGTCTTGTTAAGTGTGGCGCAAGGTAGTGAATCAAGCTTACATGGTTTTCTTCTTTGCAGGAAGAATCCTCAGCACAAGCTAGAATACAAGCACACTGCACCTCCAGGTAAGAACGTTTATTCAGTACAGCTCAAAGTCAAGGGGAAAACCCCCAAAACCCAGCAACAAATACAAAGACCACTTGTAATAAAATGCTTTCATCTACTGTAAGTGAGTAACACTGCATTTGTAGCTTACTCTGTATTGCCCTGCACCCTTACTTTTCTCAAGTATGAGGTCTTGCCCTTATCTGTGGTAGAGAGGATTCTTGGCCACTGCAGACTTGCACTTGCTTTTACGTATGTTTTTCAAGCGAAGAGAGTTAGGCTTTCTCAGCCACAACTGACATAGTTTGGATGATTTGTATCTTAGGAGTTGACAAAAATGCCATGTGAAAAGTGGCTATTTTCATGAGTTACAGGTTTTATTGAAAATTCAACACAGTATAGTGTGACATTACTGGATCTCTGTATTCTACTTCCTTCAGAGCTGAAGTATTGCAGTGAAAAGAGGGAATATATTTAGGTGCTACTGAAGTATTTCTCTACATTTTGAGTGGATACTGCAGTAAATTACTTTTATAACTTTTCACCCATCCCTATAGCAAATTATATACAGAGAAATATTTTATGCTTTTATAAAGATTTGTATCTTCTGATTTTATACTTACTTTTTATTCTTTTGATAGAAAATCCTCAAGTAGCATACAATTTTTCAAGTCTTGTGATGCTCTAAAGCAAACATTACAAACATATCTGTCATCTATTTTTTAATTTATTTATTTTTAACCAGTGTTTTCCTTATTGGGAGAACAAAGTTTTGCAGATATGTTCTCTTGAGGCTTGGAGGGAATATAATTAAAAATGAATCTGAATTTCTATTAAGAAATATTCTACTCCTGTTTTATTTTCCAGTAATGAGGCTTGTTGAAAAACAGGGGAATGTACTGTTTACATTTTGTCTTTTCTTAAAAAATTCAAAGAGATACTTTGCATTTTCTTGTGCTTTTTCTTGAATATTTGGACTTGGAGATCTTTTCCACTTGAAATCCCAATGCAGTTAACGGTAGTTCAGAGCAGAACAGTTATGGAAATGTAATGACAAGGTATTTTACTTTAAAGAATCTGGATTATGGTATTATTAAGGAAAAACTGCATTTATGGAAACAATACTGTAAAATACTTAAATGCTTTGATATGTCAATTTTCTGCTTAAAAAAATATCTGAACCAATATTAATGACATCTGTCTGCAGGTGGTATGGGTCATAATTGTAAGAACAGTTCGTCTGGATTTTTTTGGGCAGCAAAGTAGTTTTCATACTGTAGATAGAGCAGAACCATTGCAGCATTGATTTTAATAGGTCAGTGTTCTGTTGTAGCAAACTCTATGAATAACTCTTGTACTAGGCTGTAGCCTGTCCTGACTGATAACTTTCTTTTTTCAGTAACTGAAAGAGCAACCCGACAAAGAACTTCAAAAAATAGTGAGTATATTCTAATGTTATAAATGGGCACATCAGCATGAGACCACAGATCTGCAGTGGTTTTCTGGCATTTAATAGTGCTGGATTTACCTGAAGTAGTTGTTATTTTAATAAAACCCAGCTTGCTTTTTTAAAAGTAATAGTGTTGAAATTGAATTTTACCAGGCTTCCTGGATGAGCATACCTGTACCTCCCTAGGAGCAGACAAGACAACAAACGTCTTAAGGAGACACATATGGCTGAATCAATTGTTCCTTCCTTATACAGGTGTCATAATAGGATGAAAGGAATCCAGTATTCCTTTGCCCTGTAAAGATTGATTGCTCTTTAAGCACTGAGATATTCCTTCTGCATTGCACTAAACTTTAACTTTTGGGTGATATATGTGCATGTGCTTATGAGCTTTTCTTATACTTACCATGAAGTAATATACTGGCTTGTTAGGACTAAAGTGTCAAAGGTTAATGGCTTTGAGTTGAGGGCAGCTTTCATGCTAAACTACAGATATGTCCTTAGTTTCTTGTTGTCAGTGAGGATTATTAGTAGCACAGGCAAGCTGTAGTCTATCTCGATAATGTAAATTGTAATACTGTGGATGAATATCTCCCCATTTAGCAGTGGCGCACTTGAATTTGCTTTGCTGCTGCCAGCAGTGTTCACTTACATGTTGCAGGTGCATAAACTCCAGTTTTCAACACCCTTTAAGGTCTGTTTCCGGGCTTCCTTTGTATCTCAGCTTCCTATCTTTCTAAAGCAATTTAGAAGTGAGCTTTTAGAGCAATCTGAAAGTTTGATGATATTCCGTCTTCATGTTCACTGGCCTGAACAAGGCATGAGGAAGTGGAACTGCTGCATCTCAAATGGAAGTGGGAACTGGCTTGTCTTCCTTGAGGTCATGAAGGTGTGGCTGTGCATTTCCTAAAGAGAAAATAAATAAAAGTGCAAATAGCTGCAGTTAGTTTTCTAGGCAAAGTGGTTTTGCCTCCAGTTCTGTTGTGGATGAATGCAAGAGGTTGCTTTTATACTTTCCACTGAGAAATTTATTTCCCATCTGATTTCCTTATCATGTATGTGTGCACTTTTGCCATCACTGAATGCTTGATATGATGGTATCTGTGAACTAGCACATTCTGAGTAATACAATTGTTTGTTACCTGTATGCTTTGCCATATATCATTATACAAAGTACCAGCATCAACCTGATCACTCTTCCCTTGTAGAGATGTGTATTCCAGCACAGCAAGAATTGTTAATAGCATTGTAAGCACAGTGAGGGGTTAAGATTTTATAATGAGGCAACTAGGGAAGAACTGATATTCTACACATGGGAAAGAAAGGAATTAATTTATTAAAGTGATCACATTTACTGGTTGGATTTTTTTTTCTCCCAGTGTCTTGTTGGCCAGTTTCTGAGCTGTCTTGAGGATGAAAAGCTTGTGCTCAGCAGCATCATGTCTGAGGCAGTCACACTGAGCCATGTAAGGTCACAGACAGTCAGGGCTCCATTAATCTTTATTCTGTGCCGTTTGGCACAACTACACTGTTAAGTACACCATTAATTTCTGCAAGTGTATTTAAAGTCCACCAGCCAAGAGAAGAAGGGTACTGTCTACATGATTGGGTTTTAACATTTTTAGTCTTAATTGTTACCAGACAGATTACAAATTGACTGTAGAGGATATAGTCTATGTTCTGAGAAATCATAGAAGGCTAATTACTGGGGGGAATAGTTGCGAGGGAGGAAGAAAAGAAGAAGGTCATTTATGCTGTATTAAACTATTACTACTGAATGACCTCACTGCACTGCTGCTAATTAGCGGAATGATTTGCTGCAGCTATGCAGGTTTCTTCTTCACATTTCATTGTAGGTTTTCTAGCAAGTTGCTAAGCACTTGCAAATATAACTCTTTGAAAGGGGCAGTTGGTAGGCTTTTTCTCCCCACCTGAAGGAGATGCTTTCAGAGAAAGCTTCAGGGTCATCTTTACAAATACAGTACTAGGGAAAAGGCAGAGTTATACCCAGTGAGCAGCTTTAGGGGCAGTGGGGCTGAATTAAACTGTAGTGGAAATAAGTGAAGTGGAAAGACATGGAAAGAAGTGCATCATTCAGTGATGCAATCTGTTGATGTACAGGGATGAAAAACATAGTGTGCTGCTTGTACATTTGTAGGAAAAACATGGAAGTAGTATTTTGCCAGAATTCCTACTTCTGTTATAAAATACCACCCACAGTGCTGTGAAAGTGAAGAAGAGCTTTTCTTTGCTAAGCAGGTCTTGGTCTTATTATTCTCATAAATTGAGTTTGAGAATAGGGATTTTGCTCCTACTGTATTTAGCATCTTTGTTTTGATCTCTTCCCTCTAAGACATAATTCATTCTGCAGAGCCATAGTCCTTGTAAGAAACTGCTGGTATGGGTAGGCAATAAGCGTAATTGATTTCCTCTGAAGTCAGGTAAACAGTAGTGGATTACAGCTGAAATTGGCAGTTGACATTTTCAGGATCTTGTGCTAGGTGGTGCAGAGTTGGCCCTTCCAAGAATATTGGCCAGCCATAGGATATTTCTCAGTTACATTATTGGTTTTGTCACATGGCTGACATTGTTCTAGGAGGTCTTTCGGTGCCTCTGTAAACAATTCAACCATAAAGTTGTGTATTTTTGAGAACCTTGACTAATGCTTTTGATAACCTTGGGTGAGAGTTGCTATAAAGTCTTAGACTGTAAGGTAATTCTGGAATAGTGAAATAGAAAAAACGTAACTGATAGAGGATGTGATCTGACTACCTAAGATGCTGGTGTTCTTGTTTGTCCATGATACACATAGCTTGAGTGCCCAGAGCTCTGACCTGAGGTTTCAAAAAGCTGCTATGAGATGCTTATGGTTAATATAAACACTGATGATTTGGACTGGGGTCTGTAGCTGAGTTAAAAAAACCCAAACATGTTTATAGTTTCATCTTAATGATAAGAACTGCTCAACAGATAACCTGCCAGTGATCTTACACAGATAATCTATTTCTAGATGAGATAAGAATGCAAAAATTAGAGGCTGGGAAGAAGAGGAATGACAATGGGTTTACTCAGAGGTATGACTTAAGTGCAGAATAACATTATTGGAATATGAATAGACTTTGGCCAGTTATGAACTGTGGTCATGTAAGAAAAACGGAGATAGAGTAGGCTTGTTGAACAAGGGTTGTGCACTTCTACCACAATCAAGAAGCAGTAGAAATAAACTTGTTAAAGGTACACAGCTACTGATAAATAGGAGGAGAAGGCAATGCTGCTATGGCAGCAGCTTTTTATAGACGCTGCCAAGTTTGGTAAGTAAGACTTCTGTAAATAGCAGAATTACCCTGCCTTGGGGAATGGGTTTAAATGTGCCAATGTATTTGAGCAATTAAAAGAATGCTTCAAGACAAGCTGTCTAAAGAGTTAGGAACATGCTGTGGACAGTATCCATTTCTTGAAAACAGGGGTTTCTGAGTCTTTGTGTCAATACACTGTATTGTGATATACTGTGAAGAGAGAAGCCAATTTGAGTGCAAAATGTAAGTTGTGAAGAAGCTGGATGGACAGCAACTTAGAAAGCAGTGTGATAGAATAGACTGGACTGCAAAACAGGTTGCAGTCAGCTCAGGAAACAGTGTTCTGCTTTTGTTGTTTCCTTAACCCTTGTTCAGAAAGGAAGCATAGACTATCCAGCAGGGATCCAAGTTGAGAACATAGGAGGTTAGGGACATAGCAGATTCCCTACTCTTACCTGAAGCTCAGGAAAGAAATGAATGCAAGTTAGAAGCTGTGCCAGAGTAAGAGTATAAAATAGCCCTAAGGAAGTGTGGATGGATGAAGACAGAAACCCTTGGGTCAAAATAAATGGCAAGGTAGATTAATTGTTTAGGTACAGAAGTGGCAGGAAGACAACTAGGAAAACTGTGTGCCTAACTCCTTGAGAAAAGTGATCAGAAGACATCAGATTCTGTTTTTTTTCTGGTACCAGAAGATGTTGTCAAAAGGTCTGATACTGTTTTCCAGGTGCTGGAAGAAAATCCAGTACGGAAAACTTTAAGTGATCAGATGGGTAAGTGCTGCAGTAGAGGTCAGAGAGAGATGGTACAGCTTTTCATGACAGTCTTGAAAATCAAACCTAGGATTCTTAGTGTTGGATGGAGTGCTTTAGTTGATTCTTTCTCCTCTTGAGGAGAGAGACTAACTATATGGTCTCTGGAAGGTCTCTAGTTCTGTATTTATGATACATGAATATATGACATTTTTGTCCTTACAGGAAAAAGGGCTGTGGAGAAAGATAGTGCCAGCGATGATGAACCTAATGAATATGACCTTGATGACAGCTTTATAGATGATGAGGAAGAGGAGTGTGACCCTACTGATGAAGACTCTGACTGGGAGCCAAGTTCAGAAGACAAGGATAATGAAGATGTTGAAACGCTTTTGCAAGAAGCACGTAGATTTGTTAAGACCAAAATGTAGCTGCACAGAACAACATTATGTGTCTGATCTGGTTGTGTTAAAACGTGGATGTGCAAGGACAGGAACTGCTTTGAAAACTGTTTTTTCCTCAGTGATGTAGGCACTACAGAAAGATTTTAATGGGGGTGTGGGGATTCAGCAAAGCCTTTCATTTCCATATGTATGATTTTGTTAGGGTTTCTTTCATTAAGTGGTGGAGCCAGAGGACTGAGCTCTGAAAGTTTTGTTTGTTTCTTTCCCCCTCATCTATTTCTTTTGCAACACCACTGGTGTCTTTTAGTTTGAAAGGTTGTTAATGCTTCACCCTCCTATACTTAAACATTTGCATTAGGAAAGCCTTTTGTTTTGCTGAAATGCAAAACATATATATAAATATATATACACACACACTGTGTTGAATGAAGAGGAGTTATGCTTCACATCTGCAGTATTGCAGACCTGCTTGGCCAATGCTGGGGAATCTGTCTAAACCATTTTCTTAATGTTCTTTTAAACTGGTGCAGTCTTAAACTTCATTATTCTGCTCCTAGCTTTCCTTTTAGGTGTCATTTATTTAATTCTCTTAATGTACAGTAGTTAAGTACAGGTTGTTTAAATTACTTGAGAACAGTATCTCGGTGTATCGAACCACTGTTGTCTCGACAGCAATTATGGTATATTTGTTCTCGTTACAGCAGTATCATTTGCCGTGCTTGTACATCACTGGAATTATGTTCAATTCCCAACAAATCCAAAGTGTTGGTGACTGTATTTTTGCACAATTAAACTTGTAACAGTGTGGGAAAAACCTGTAACTATGACTGATTTCTAAAGACTTTGTTGGAAGATCCTGCCTTCAGTGTATTTACAACTTTATTGAGCTTTCAGAAAAGTAAGTTTGAAAAGTTCTAGTATGTTTCAGGACAGATGTCTGGAGCCATGTGAATTTGGCACTTGTGTTTGGACACAATCCTAAAATTCAGCAGGGTAAGCATTCTTGTGTGGCTTTGTTCCCCTGTGAACATCTGCTCAATCATGGTTGAAGACACACGTCCAAATACACTCAAGCATTTCAATTGGGTGGCAAAATGTTCTCTGTTTACATTAGATGTCCATTGCTGCTAGCTGGCACAGTGTTGCTTTAGGATACTGCATCATCTTTGCCAATTGTGTGTCAGAAGAGTCACTCAAACATCCCAGATATCAAAAATGTAAGCATTCACTATGGGCAACTGTTTCAGATTTGAAGAACATCTGCTTCTGTTGGCCATCAGCATAATGGTTACTAAAGTTTTTTCGTACAGAAAGAATCTAGTAGGTGTTTTTTACAATGTCTGATGGTTCCTGTGACCATAGAATCATAGAATAGTTAGGGTTGGAAAGGACCTTAAGATCATCAAGTTCCAACCCCCCTGCCATGGGCAGGGACACCTCGCTCTAAACCATATTACCCAAGGCCTCATCCAACCTGGCCTTGAACACTGCCAGGGATGAAGCATTCACAACCTCCCTGGACAACCCATTCCAGTGCCTCACCACCCTAACAGGGAAGAATTTCCTCCTTATATCCAATCTAAACTTCCCTGTTTAAGTTTTAACCCATTACCCCTTGTCCTATCACTACAGTCCCTAATGAAGAGTCCAAGAGTCCATAACCTTCCTCAAGCTGGAGCATTCTCTAACATAGCATTATTTTGTGAACGGCTATTTAAACAGCTCTCAGGAGCTACTACCCTTTACTTTTAAAAGTTGAAATAGCCTCTTTTATCACTGGAGGCTCACAGATACATATCACAAAAAAGCAAATTTAGAAGTAATTCTTGGTTTTGCATATTAGATCAAGTTTTATTATTGATACACTGGGAAAGTCAAAGCTGGAATGTAGCTGCTGTATACTGGTAAGTTGAAGCTATCTCTGTTAAAGCATATTTTCCACTTGTATTATTTCCTTAATAGAATCATAGAATAGTTAGGGTTGGAAAGGACCTTAAGATCATCAAGTTCCAACCCCTCTGCCATGGGAAGGGACACCTAACACTAAACCATGCCACCCAAGGCCTCGTCCAACCTGGCTTTGAACACTGCCAGGGATGGAGCATTCACAACCCCCCTGGGCAACCTATTCCAGTGCTTCAGCACCCTAACGGGAAAGAATTTCCTCCTTATATCCAATGTAAACTTCCCCTGTTTAAGTTTGAATCCATTACCCCTTGTGCTATCACTACAGTCCTGTCCTGGGTTTAGCAGTAGCAGTCATTTTTCTTGGTGCAGTGCTGTGTTTTGACTTTCGGGCTGGGAACAAAGCTGATAAAAATGATATTTTGGTTTGGCCAAGGACTTTGTGAGTCTCATGCTCTGCCAGGGAGGAGGGAAGCCGGGAGGAAGCAGAGACAGGACACCTGGCCCAATCTGACCAAAGAGGTATTCCGTACCACAGCACGTCATGCCCAGGAGGTAACTGAGAGTTAACCGGAAGGGCTGGGACTGCAGGGTTGGAGGAGGTATCGGTCGGTGCTTGGTCGGGCTGGGGGGGAGAGTTATCGGTCACCTGGTGCTGAGGTGTTGTATTCTCTTTCCTTGTTATTTCCTTTATCATTACTATTATTGGTGGTAGCAGTAGTGATTTGTGTTATGCCTTAGTTACTAAACTGTTCTTATCTGAATCCGTGGGAGTTGCATTCTTTCTAATTCTTCTCTCCGTCTCTCCAGGAGTAGGGGGAGGGCAAGAAGGGGGGGTGGGGGGGTGGGTGGACAAGCTGTCTGGCTGGGGTTAAACGACGGCAGTTCTTTTTGGCGCCGAATGTGGGGCACAAGGGGTTGAGATAACGACAGATGTGACCGGATTAATAGTCACTCGTCACAATGCTGATTTATTGGCTCTCAGAGTTGTTCCTCTTGATCTCACAGCTTCAGAATGTTGTAACTTACTTAGAGCCGGTATTTGCTGTGTTAGTGTTTATCAAGTGTGGGGCTTGGGCTAAGGTTCCTGTCTCACTGTACTTTATGACAATGACTTGTAATACGGGCGGGCTCCAGCAGCAGGGCGGGACGGACGTGGCCATGGACTGGTCCCTGGCCGTCCGGCTGCTCCTCACCGTCCTGGCCCTCGCCCTCGCCTCCGTCTGCGTGAGGCCGCGAGGAGCCGAGGGGGCGCGGCCCCGGGAGGCGGTGGCTGCTGAAGCGGCCCGCGAGAGCGGCCCCGGGCACCAAACGGCGGCGGGGGCGGGGCCGGGGCCGGAGGCCGTTAGGGAGCGGCTGCCGGTGGAGGAGGTCGGGGCGGTCGAGGAGCGGAAGGAGGCGGCGGAGGAGCCGAGCCCCGCGGCCGAGCCCAGACCCGCGACGGCCGAGAATATTCCCCGGAAGCCGCCCGCCGAGCCCCAGGAGGACGCAGGAGACCCCGCAGCATTTCACAGCAAGGCAGAGGAGGAGGAGCTGGTGGTGGGAGAGCCGGCAAGCACAGCAGCTTCACCAGCCCCAGGGACAAGTACAGCAGCATCGCTTGAGAATTCTGAAGGTTTTGGATGGCCTTTGGGTGCCCTTGGGACCTGCCTGCTGATTGTGATGGGGATCAGCATGTTGGCACACCCACAGAGTGTGTTTTACCCACCGCCATTTTGTCTGATCTCAAAAGTTAAGCAGAGGCGGGTTTGGGTCTTCTCTGGGGTTAGACGATGATATGGGGAGACCAAGAGGTTTCCCCCAGGGCTGGACAGTCATGAGTGGCAGGGTGTGTGGGACAGTATGGGCGAGTATCTAGTCCACTGTCTGGCTGGGGTTAAACCACGGCAAGTCCCTAATGAAGAGTCCCTCCCCAGCATCCCTACAGGCCCCCTTCAGATACTGGAAGGCTGCTATGAGGTCTCCACGCAGCCTTCTCTTCTCCAGGCTGAACAGCCCCAACTTTCTCAGCCTATCTTCATACAGGAGGTGCTCCAGTCCCCTGATCATCCTCATGGCCCTACTCTGGACTTGTTCCAACAGTTCCATGTCCTTTTTAAGTTGAGGACACCAGAACTGCACACAATACTCCAGGTGAGGTCTCACAATATATTCTTGTTCTTCTGGAGGGCTGACCTTGTGTCTCCAGGATATTGGTATATTGATGGACCCTACTCTGTTTGAGGTACAGATAAGACTACCCAGACACTCATATGTCAAGTTACTGAATATTTTTTCAGTGAATCACGAACATGCTCAGAGGGCTCGAGCACCTCTCTTGCGATGACAGGCTGAGAGAGCTGGGCTTGTTCAGCTGGGAGAAGAGAAGGCTCTGGGGAGACCTTATACTAGCCTTCCCCTGCCTAAAGGGGACCTGCAAGAAATCTGTGGAAGGGCTTTTTACAAGGGCATATGGTGACAGGGCAACTATTATTATGTATTTAGTGTATCATCTTTATGAGTCCCA